ATGAGCAATGTTTATTATTATTATTATTATTATTATTCAACGCAATAAATAGAGTAAGCTGCGCACTCAGTACAAACACCATTAGCAAAACTTGTTTTCATGTAAATAACTAAGCTTGTTCCTAAACGTTTTCGTCGCCATCTCATCAGAGGATTACTGGCAAATCAAAATTAGCTCTAAACTCAATATATATACGCACAATGCAAGTAATAATTTAGACCCTAACTAGCGCGAGAAAATGAGAGCTGAAAGAAACATGACATCAATCAACGATATTCACCCCTCATCAGTTGAGCTTGAGTAGGCTGAGGAAGATTGTGCCTGAAGAGCACCACTTATGTCCAGGAGCGACACTGACTCACGCTGCTATCTGGTGTTCATGAGGTGTTTGTCGCGCTGGAAGCGGAGCGTCTCTGTAAGTTTGTATCCCTGGTGATGTGTGTGCCTGGAGAGCACTATATAAGTGGTGCCCTTCAGGCACAATCTTCCTCAGCCTACTCAAGCTCGACTGATGAGGGGTGAATTCCCCGAAACACTGTGTATTGAGCAATGAGTGGTGCTTTCTTGCAGGTTTGCCGAGTCGAAGGTTCGATGGACTTCTCGTGTGCTCTGGATGGCAGTCGTGAGTCAAGTGTCAAGTAAAGTCGGTGGAATAGCGCGAGCTCCGGTGTGGGGAGCAAACCTTTATTATTATTATTATTATTATTATTATTATTTGGAAAGGATTGGGAGAACTTCAAATTCAAAGGATCAGTCGGGGAAGTGAACTGCCTGAAAAGAGAAAAAAACGCCAGACCCACCAGGACCCTGCTTGCCATGAGCAATGCTCTAACCACTGAGCTATGGGACCAGGCTGAACCAAGAAGGCGCTGACAAGTTCCTCACTCCAAAGGCAGCTCACAACACGTGCCACACATACTGATGGCACTTGGGTCTCTTTCCCTCCCCCAGGGGACCAACCACGGTCAGTTTCTGGAAACTACCAGAGGTGAAAGAAAGTGATTAAATTTGGAAAGGATTGGGAGAACTTCAAATTCAAAGGATCCTGGTGGGTCTGGCGTTTGTTTTTCTCTTTTCAGGCAGTTCACTTCCCCGACTGATCCTTTGAATTTGAAGTTCTCCCAATCCTTTCCAAATTTAATCACTTTCTTTCACCTCTGGTAGTTTCCAGAAACTGACCGTGGTTGGTCCCCTGGGGGAGGGAAAGAGACCCAAGTGCCATCAGTATGTGTGGCACGTGTTGTGAGCTGCCTTTGGAGTGAGGAACTTGTCAGCGCCTTCTTGGTTCAGCCTGGTCCCATAGCTCAGTGGTTAGAGCATTATTATTATTATTATTTTTATTTGAGGGATTCCCCAAAGGCCGAAGCCTAAATCAAGGGGGTCTCCGAGAATAAATATACGTGTAAAATGCGTGTAAAATAGGGTGCAATTCTTAAAAGGAAGAAAATATTAGGAAAAAAGAGATTATTTATTCATGTCCTGAAAATTACGTGTGTACCTAGTATGTAAATTGTTGACATCATATGTAAACCTCCGCCCTCAATCCTTGCTTTGCCTATGTGCAGATACATGTAAGTGTGGCAGTGCCACCATGGTGTACAGGCCTATGGAAAGTGAAATAATCCATGGAATTTGCGAACTGCTGACAATGAGACAGGCGAGTGTTACTGATGCGATGGAGTCATTCCTGCATGTTATCAGGACACAGTTACACAAGGCATCAGGTTTTTGGAAATCTGCTACGCCAGGAAGTGTGCCAGCTGAAGGCATGCAATGGTGCTGGCATTTCGCAAGCATGGCAACAAGTGCTCTCCAGCATCTCAACAGCTTTTCCCAAAGCTAAGCTCTGTACAAGACACAATATGACACAGCTAAAAACAACTGAAGCAGTGACATGTGAATGTTGCACGAGCATGCGTGTGTGTGTATGTGTGTGTGTGTGTGTGTGTGTGTGTGTGTATATGTGTGCGGCTGTGCCAAAGCCTAGAGTGTTCATTTGCGGCTGTGGCAGGGACTTCCGTTGGCCCAATGATCTAACTCGCCACAGGAAATAGTACTGCAACTCCTGATGCTATCATTGCACGGAGCAATGGGCATCCAAAGGTCCAAAGGTGTATGTGTGTTGTGCATTGGTGGTCGATTCACATGGCTTTGCCAGTTGTGTGGATTATACAGTTATCTGGTGCAAATCTTGATCTGTTTCATTCAGATCTTGTTCGCTATCGTTGCTATAAGAGAAAATCTGTGGGTGCACATCCAGTGCATTTGCAGACTTGCGTTCTTCTCTTGCGACGGGCGTATGCATGGTATGTGTGTGCGTACGTGTGTGTGTATGCTTCTTTGATAAGTGGATCAAGCAGTATACAGGGTATTCACGGGTATTCGCCTTGAGTGCATTTGCCGATAGTGTGACTTTCGTCGCAGAGAACTTTGCTCAGTCGGTCAGGCGACTCGGCATTACGTTTCCTGAAGGCAATGTGTTCAGAACACAGTTACTTCAAGTATGAACAGCTACATGTATGAACAGTTAAGAAATGACAAATATTGTGTGCAGTTCATGGACCATAATGCGAAACACTTTGAATGCAGAAGAATGTGGATAGTGGCATCAAATGCTGCATGGATTCTATTTGATATACTACATTTTTTTCTCTTCCATGGAAAGGTGAGTGTATCATCGATCTTCATCTCGAAACTTCACACAAACCGAGAATGGAACTTGGACACCATGAAGGGGCCATGGGCATGGTGTGTTTAGTGGAGAACTATTCCGAAAACAGGGCGTCATTCGCACTTTTCAATTCAAATTTGAGTACATTCCGTGAATAACTTACCTTGACATTCCGTCGTCTCCAAAGCAGTGAACTTCCCCAAAAAATTAAAAGCCACGGCTCCACCTAAGATAATGCGTGGTACGTATCAGAAACAACCAGCTTTCGCTCTGGAGATCCAGTATAGGCCTCGAAGCATAGCAAAAACAATTGAGAAAAAGAAGATGACGACGACGTTTCAATCACGCATCAAATTTCGCGGGTCGAGTGCAGCAATCCTCGGATCGTGAAATGTATGGCGTGTCGCCTCCCGGTATTTTACGACTCCCTGGATGATAGCGATGCTACAGCAGAAGCCATAGCAGCTTGTGCTGGGATTGCACCATTCAACAGCTTGCACACACATACACACACACACACACATACACACATACACACACACAAACAGGACGAACGAATCTATTAACTGGTATGGTTTGGTCTGCTTGCTGACAGTTGATTACACCTGTTCCGAATTGCGGCCCATTCGGGGGAAACACGTGCTCTGAGCAAGTACGTACATGGCAAATACTGTAATGTTGTGTCTAGACACCAAGCAGATGGTTATACATCTTTGGCACAATAGAACCATCCAAGTCAGGGGGCTTCTACTTCTTTCTTGCTCCTACAGTAACCATAAAACATAGACAGGACCGTGATCAAGCTGGGCATTTCTTGCACACGCTGTATTGTCAACAAGCGATCTTCTTCTGTGCAGAGTTCGCTACACCACCGGCCATATCCCAAGGATGGATACTATCAAGAAACCGTATGGTAAAGGTAAGTATTTCGTTGCTAATAGGGCCAATACACTAATACATGTCATAGCCCGTTGAGGTCTGTACTCGATCATGCACACCAAAAAAGGCAATTAGAGATGCCCTGTACTACTCGTTCTCCATCTGCAAGGATGTTCCAGGCATTATTTTGTAAATGGCGAAGTAGACTGGGAAGACTTATTCACACCGAGTCTCGTTCTGAATACGTACACGACGTAGTAAACATAATGTTGGACGGGTGTGATTCTTGAAATGACGGGAGGCTGAGAAGAATTGGTGCATGCCTACCTATTCTACACAAGAGCATGGCCGCAGATGACATTGTTCCCGAAAAAGATGGTCACCTCTCTTGAATATTGCTTCACGTACACTGGAGGGGGAGGGCTGTTGGAAGATTTTACTTGAAATTGTTCCACGCATTTAAAGAAACCTCAGACAGCTATATTTACTACTGGAGTTTTTGCGAGCCGACTTAGGTAAATATTTTGTGCTGGTTTGTACGTCACCCGGTATGTTCTGAAGTGTACGTGTGAGAATAGGGTAGATTATTTATTTATTTTAATTTTAACAAAGACCACTTAATGCCAAACATGAGATGCAGCTAGGGGAAGCACGCACAACCTGAATCGTGGCAGTGGTGGTGTAGTGCTACTGGTTCAGCGAACATACTCGTACAAGTAGTACGTTAGGGGCGAAAACCTCAGCTAAATCTCGTGAAGCGCTATTCAGCCAGCAAAGGAAAATCCCAGCGTGTGCAGTAGAGCAGGGCTGGAAAGAAGGGAGAAAGCGCCATGGCACCAAACTCTGTACCGGAATTTTGAGAGAGTGAATTTCTTCATTATCTGAACCGGTATTCCCTCAGAGTCCAATGATTTCTTTCATAACACATTGCAAGTCACGAGAACAGCTCTGTGATCAAGTACAGTCAACAGACAGAAAGACAACTTTTCCAGCGCTGGTTTCTAAATCCAAAATCAAGGCACAGCGAACTGTAGAAGGTTCATGAATGTTCCACTGACCAGTGGTATTTTGCTCAGCAAAACAACTGATCATATTGTGTGAATATCTTCCTATTGATTACAGATCCATTCAAAACCAGTATACTATTCTGCTTACTGCCCTCAATGTGCTGGATGTACTCAACTTGTGCCCAAGAACCATCATGTGGAGCCGTCAATCGATACACTGAACTGATTCCAAACCATGGCAGTGTTCTTCAGAGTTACGACTCTTACACTACTGCTACTGCTACTGCTACTACTAATGCTACTAGAAGCACACCGCGAACGCCGCTGTCGTCCAGCACACCATACACAGTAGTTTTCGAGTATCCTGAAAATTGCAACTTGGTAGCTCGTCAGATTTTTTTCGCGTCACTAGGTATGTGTGGCTTCAGCGTGCATCGTCAACAGCACAATGGAGGGATGTGGTCACATTGGACACCTGTACTTTTTTCTCATATGCCGCATCTTTCTAAAAATGGAGCGAAGTATTACGATGAATTAAGGATATCACTACCCATTGTGAGACGTACCCGTATCAGAGTTGCAATAAGGAACCGAAATAGATGTCACACACACCTGGTCGGTACTGAGCCATTCATATCTCTGGTTTGCGAGGGTAAGTTATTTTTACAAATCATTGTCCCAAATTCCCCATTTGAAATATGTAGAGAAATGAACAGTATGATGGGTCCCGATATAGGTACACTATTATAATGTCAGCAGAGGCAAGCCGGACCTCTCGAGCTGAATCCATCTGGACGACCTAAGACAGTTTGCTGCGGATCGCAATGGATGGCGGCAGATAATCTGAAGGAGTCGCCACAACTGCTGGATATTACCATACATATTGCCCAGAGCTAGAGAACAGCAGCGGAAGCATGTATAGCACGGCTGGGCATGTTGTACGCGTATCTGTGTTATTATTATTGTAATCTACAATGTACGTTTGAAGATGATCGTATTCCAGAGTCTTCATTTTCGCGTCCCACCCTTCAGTGGAAATGATGAAGGTAATGGTTAACTTCATGAACGGAACATGATGAAAATTAATGTCAACTGTGTGGGGTTCATGCACCATTCTTAGAGGGCGCGATTTACAGAAGGCAAAGAGCGTAATACACAAGCAGAAGGACGAACATTTGCGATTTCGTAACTCTGAGTCACATGAACTGACTCGGATCTTCTTCTTAGGACATCGAATGATCGATTACATTCTTTAAACTCAGAGTTACGACATCGCAACTGTTCGTCCTTCTGTTTATTATTATTATTTATAGTATTATCAACCTATTCGCGTTGTCACGCCAAGCAAGCTTGGCCAGTCTTCGCTTAGGCCAAATGGAATGAATAATGAGGAACGAGCTTGGTCAATGAGGTGCTAATACGCATGCAACAGCGGAATTTTGTAACTTTTCAACAGCAGAATAGTAAAAAAGGAAAATGATCCTTCTCTTTGTGACATTTTAAAAGACTTTGTCTGAGAAAACCAGACAATGTGTGTGCAGTTGATCTCTCCGATTTCGCCCAAATATTGCAGGTAATTCAGAATAGGTGTAGACCGACTGTGTCAAGCCCTTGACAAAGTTTCTCAAGCATGAAACAGGCATACCCCTCAGATATGGTCAGAACATCACATAAGATATGGGTCTACAAACAGGCAAAGCGTACACGAACAAGCTAAGAACAAACTTCCATCAAGCCAACATTACCTCACCTTGGAGGAGGTCCTGACGAAGTACCGCTCAGCCACGCAAGCATCCCAGAGGACGAGAGCCATCGCCCCTGACAAAATAATAGTTTTGAAAAAGCCAATTTAGAAGCGATGATAAAAGGGCTATGTACTCAACTAGCCATCGACTGGTAGCTTAGCTTACTTAAAGCTCGTAGCTGTACTGATGAGGCATGCGTGGCCAAAAAATGTTGCTGTCTACAGCATTGGGTTTCCTTGAAATTAATTAACATTTTTGAATTTTTCCACTCCACCATGCTGAAATACGTGCAACCTCATACCTGAGCAGGAAAGCAGGCACCTCGCGACGTATTGTGAGACATTTCTACTCCAACACAACTCCCGATGCTGCAGAACAAAAAAGTGTGTTATTTACTCTGACAGGGAAAAGCAGCGGTGATTCTCGTATCCGTCCCGAATGGGACTCACGACGGCAGAATTAACTGTGAGCATGTGTGTGTGAGAGTGGGAGAACGAAATGAAAAAGAAAAGAAGAGTCTTGTAATAAAGGTCAAATTTAAGAAGAGCAGTACTAGACTAACTGGCTGAGCAGATGTTACTCCATTGTTTTCTGTTGCGGGCATAGGTGCCGAGATCACGAAGGCAGCTGGGCTTAAAAATGCAGATAGGTGTGAGCGGTGATCGTCTCAAGAAACTCTGAAACTCTGAGTTGCGGCTAAGTGTTCACTGTCCTGTTGATGCTTGCATATACCTATAATATCGGTACTTGTGTAGATGTAAATGAATGTACAGAAACTCCACATCCATGCAATCCGTACAGTGGAGTTGTTTCTGGCCAATGTTTCAACACCTATGGTTCCTACTCCTGCGTTTGCTACTCCTCGTTTAAACAGGCTGGCGGAACATGCCAAGGTTAGAAATAATTTGACGGTTCCCGTGGTGGATTTCTGCAGCCAGTACATTCTGTACTTGAGCACAGAGCTGGTCGCATGCATCTCTGAGACTCTGATGCTAGCATAAGTCAAATCATCAGTCTCACTACTTTTCACAGATATGTTTTCCATCATCGTGATTACCTTGCTGATTTCCATTTCAAGATTACGAATAGTGAGCGACGACTAAATAAAATCAATCTTCCCAAATTTAAATCATTGTCTAAGTCTCTCTTCATTTTCCGAACTGCTATTCTATGGAACTGTTTACCTCCCCAGTCTAACATCGGAAGCCTCGCTCTATAAGTTCAAAGCTGCCCTCAGGAAATTTACAGCTGACCATGCTTATGCAATCAACGGAATTCCGCCACCTTGCAGTTGATTTTCCCCATTTCTCTCCTCATCAATCTCTACTTGTCTTTGTACATACATCCACATCTACTGTTCTTTCAATCAAATGAACCCCTCGATAGGCACATTGCCTTTGGGTCATTTCATATTAATAATAATAATAATTTAGAAGAGAAAAGGACATATGGATACGAGTTAAGAGTAACTCTCCATCACTGTAACATGATACTATATACAGTCAGAAAGTGCAATAACTAGGCACAAAACTGACAGAAAACGCCGTAGCAAAAGGTGCCGGATTAGAGAGGGACGACTGTACTCTATTTCCTCCTATTTAACGTGTACTATAAGCCTCCAAGTTCGCATTTCAAAATGAATGCCTCAGGCCGGTCACACTGAGGGAACAGTCTTCAGATTATACACCGTGAATAATTTTGTTGTATTTTTCAAAAGGGTCACACTGGACTTATACGATGAAAACAATCTCACCCACACGAACTATAATAATTGTTTCGTAACCGATCGTTTCTGCCAGTCTGTCAGCCCCATTCCTTGGCCAGAGCTGCATCAGCGCAGGCTTTAGAGTGTCGCTCCACTTCATGAAAGCAATAGCAAAACAAGGAAACCCAAACAACTGCCGTGGAAGCTGCGGATGATAATAGTCTTCTGCGGAAAAGCACATCCTCGAGCTGATTTTCATTGAGTGGACTCTTTATTTATTGTTTACAAAGAACACAAACCCGGCTCGAGACAAAAATTAATGACAAGAAAGATAACAAAGTCGCAGGGAGAACGAAGAAACGGCTAGAACACAGAAGTTGTGGGTTGGCAGAACAAACAACTATTGTATCAGGGCTGGCTACTAGTATCCACTAGCGCAGCTGTGTAGGCGGGCGTTGTGGACTTCCCCCCCCCCCCCCGACCAAAGGTCTCGGTATACTTGCACACTACGAGCACCAGGGGGGGGGGGGAACAAGAAAGAAGGAAGAATTAAAATATTGGCGGCGCATCCAATTTCGAAAAAAGAGTGTCAGCACTGACGCAATGCACGCAGTCAAGTAAAGCCAGTTTAGCAAACGAACGTTTTCGTTCCCTTCTCCTTCTGGTTAAGTACAGAGAATTATGGAAAATGTCAAAATATAGCAACTTATAGAGCGAGGACCTATGCTTTTGCTGTAGCTCTATAAGTTGCTGCATTTGGACATTTTTCCATTATTCCCATAACTAATACTCATGATGAAAAGGGACGAAACGTTCCGGTCCTAATTTGGCTTTACTTGACTGTGTGGATTGAGTCGGTGCTGACACAAAAGAAGAAATTTTAGGCCGTCAGTTCGTATGATAGTGCTCAAATTTCCCGTTTAGCGACAAAATTAATATCCATGGAAACCACGGATTTTTCTACATTTTCCTCCCTGCGACCGGGTTCTTAATCTTAGTACATGTAGATTGATGTAAAAAATATGTGATAACTGTCGATTCATGTTATCCAGCTGTCTAGCGTATTTCACAGAGCAATTTTAAATCAATTTAAAAAGGAAAAAGACATTATGGATACGAGTATCATGTTCCAGGGATGGAGAGTTACTCTTAACTCGTATCCGTAATGTCTTTTTCCTTTTTACATTTATTTATGGCTCAACATCCGAGTTTCAAAATTAATTTTAAATGACATTGCTTTTCTTTATTTTCTACAGACATTGACGAATGCAAGACGAACAAGGACGTCTGCATTGATGTTGTTAGCTATTGTACAAACACTGAAGGATCATTTGAATGCCCGTGCAGAAGAGGCTTTGCCGGACCTCAGTGTCAAGGTACAAGAATAGCAACGCATTATGTATTGTGGTTCTCTACTTCGAAGTACATGTTTGAGCATAATCAATCATAATTGTTTATGAAAAAATGCACCCCTACTAGCTACACGCTCCTTTAAAAATAGGACAGTACTGATGATATAAGCTAAGAAATATGAAGCGTGATCCCCGTGGACAGTGGTCCCTCCTAAACAAGTTATCTGGACGAGCCATTGTAAAGTCTACTCCCGCCGCACCACTTCCAGAACTCACAGATACGTTTGCAGCAGTTGTTCATGACCCAACCCGTCCACAACCACTGCAGATACCTGCTTCGAAAGATGCTACCACAACGAGCACCCTGACTGATTTCGCCTTAGTAAATGCGGAGGCAGTTATGGACATACTGACCAATCTTAACTCCTACAAGTCTGCTGGTTCGGATGGCATTCCTCCATGCATGTTTAAGTCATGTAAGGCGTCTATTGCAGCCCCGCTAGCGTCCATTATCAACCAGTCCCTCCTCTCGGGTGTGTTTCCTACAGCGTACAAGCACGCACATGTGTGTCCTCTATTCAAATCCGGAGACAAACTGTCAGCTACAAACTACCGTCCCATATCTCTGTTCCCACTTGCCTCCAAGGTATTGGAGAAAATCGTTCATCGACAGGTTGTGGAGTTCTTTAGTGATCACAATGAGCTTTCTGCCCTTCCACCGGAACAATTTGCATATCGCTCCAACCACAGCTGTGAGGATGCCCTTGCTCACTCCATTGATAGATGGAACCGAGCATTGGACGATGGTCAACGATGCGCAATAGTGTTTGCAGACATGAGTAAGGCATTTGACCGCGTTCAACATCAGCAGCTAGTCCATGAGCTAGCTAATGTTGGGTTACGGGGCACTGTATTGCAGTGGTTTGCAGATTATCTGTCATGCCGCAGTCAACAAGTCATAGTCAATGGCGAGCATGGCGAGACTGTGCCTCCTACCCGCAAGGGTCGATCCTGGGTCACCGGCTCTTTTGCATTTATATTCGCAAGGTGCCGGAAATTCTCAAGCACAGCGTGTCACAACTCTATGCTGTTGACATTACTTTGCATAAGAGTGCTCGGCCCACTGTGAGTTCTGATGTCTGATGATTGGACAGGAGGGTAATTTCAGTAACGGCACCGCTCGCAGCTAATGTCAAAACACAATTGGATCTTATCAATGTTTTTGCACCGATGGCTACTCTGGATTTTCATGCGAAGGTACACAATTGCCTTGTCGGAGAGTGGATGTTTAAAATACAAAGCTGTGCCTTTGATGCGATTCCACACCCAAAAGAGATTTTGAGATAGAAGTACAATAGTTTCATAGATAAATCTGTGATGATGACACGAAATTAGTCAATCTTACAGGTTCACATACCAAGGACATAATTATAGCAAGAGAGACTTTTTATGCATTAAACCTGGCAAGACATTCACAGTTTAGGCAGCATGATTCATTCCTCAAAGAAACTATGTACATGTACATGTATAGCAAGTACTGATGTAGGACCGTGTCTTATATCCCTTACAGACATCAATGAATGTACAGATGAAGTTGACGTGTGTAGCGGCGAGATCAATGGTGAGAATCGTGCTTGTGCAAACAACGCTGGGTCCTACAATTGTCCATGTTTGGCAGGTAATTATGACGTCAACTGTTTAGGTAAGACACCATTGAGTTCTCTTCGCCTATCCAATGAGAGGATGGTTGTGTTTTTGTAGCAAGATTTATACTCCATGCAAAGTGCTTTGTGCAAGGTCAAATTGCTGCATTTGCATTCATTTTGTTTGCAGTAAAGGTAATTGGGCCCAATGTAAAATATGTGGTCACTGAACCACTGGAGGTGATATCTGTACGGACTTGGCGTGAGTATGTCTTCATCAACATTTTCTGGTTTGCTGATAAAAAAAGGAAAAGAAAAAAAGAAGAAACAACAGCATTATGTTCATGAGAAGTAGTTGCATAATGTGCCTCTGTCACATGCCAACTGGAAATTATGATGCAAGGCAACAGGCTCGTAATTGCAAACGAAAGGCTGTGCAACCTGATTAAACTGTGACATACATTTGATGTGTACATATACAATCGAGGTGAAAAAGCTTTATAGCTGTAACTTCAAGTTTCACGCATTTCAGCGATTGTCAGACAGCAGCATTTGGCATTCATTGCTTCGAGCTGCGTCGACTGGCTTTGTTTGTGGTGTGCGGATTGTATTTCAAAACCTCAATCTGGTGGTCCCATAGCTATAGTACTTTGAAGTACACGAATGAGATACATGTGCAATGTAGTTTCGGGAGTCTAGGAGAGGCTTCCCCAATAGGCCGGCCGCAAAAATTGGCCCAAAATGGGACTTATCGAAAACTCGCTAAGTTTTTGCTGATTTTGGACGGTACCTTTGAGACTCCCCGATAATCTACCAAATGTTATTGCAAAGTGCGTTTTCGAACGAATGATGCTGCTGCAAGCATGACCACTAGAGCTCTCTACTTCAGTACTTGTGGGACTAGTGCGTTGAGGTCGTGTGGCTCGTGGCCTTTGACCTCTCAAATAAACATTATCCCTGAAGGAGATCGTTACTAGTCAAATCCCCAAATCGACCGGCCGAAACATTCGCCGGAAACGAGACTTATCGAAAAATTGGTAAGCTTTTTACCGATTTTGGAGGGTTAATTTGCGAATCCCCTGAAAATCTACCCAAATCCTTGGTAGTCATGTCGAGAACGGTACTACCTCCTGCTTTGACTTAGAAATTTGCTTTCCGAAACTGCCGCAGATCGTTCTATGATGTCTGCGAAG